AATCCGAAAAAAATGTTGCCAAGTTAGAGATCATTTTTTTTTTGTTCCAGATAAAAACTAAATAAAAACTTTTGTAGCGTATTCTATAAAGATTTGAATAATTAATAATTCTATACGAAATATCAACAATGTTTGAAAAGCTTGCTGAAAACTTAATAAAAGATTAACAATTAAAAAAAACTAATTGATTAATTAATTTTAGTGCAGATTATTTGTAATAACAAAATTTTCTATCAAAACTTATAATAAAATCAGAAACTTTCAAGTAAATATATATAATATATAGTATATGTATTGTTAATTTGTTGTAAATTCTCATGATTTGAAAAGAAAGCTTATTTGATCAAAAGCATTACAATGACATATGCACCAATGAAGTGATTAATATTCATACTCAATATTCAAATCAAAGAAATGATTGAAAGAGAACATTAATTAATGAGTTAACTCTTAACTTAGTTAGATGAAAAATTCATGTCTGATTTAAAAAAGTAGTCACCTTTAGAATCTCAAAATATATATTTTTTAATGATAGTCCAGCAGACATAAAAAAAGTCAATAAATTATATTAAATTATATTATAATTAAAATACAATATCTGATATACCAAATAAAAAAGATTATAAATGAAGTGTTCAGAAATTAAATAAAAAATAATTGTAAAAAAAATTAAAAAAATGATAAATCAAAAGTTCTTATTGAAATAAATTAAGTAATATAACGTGTTAATAGTTAATCTTAGAATGACCTAATTAATGTGTAATATATTATAATAGAGCACATTAAAAAGTACTATGACTAAGTTACCCTAGTTAACCTTAAAATTTAAGGGGCTTTTGAGTTCATTCATTGCAAGAACTTAAATTTAGCTACAAAAATAATTAACAAAATTTAAATTAAATTATATAACTAAAAGGAAAAAAGAGATGGCGGACCGACCTTTTTGTTAATGTTTAATTAATAAGAATAAGATTATTATATATTTTAATTCTATTTACAAATATACTTGAATTTAATAATGATTTATTACCTGAAAAGGCAAAGCAACTATCTATAATTTTCTACGTATGACATGTCATATATAGCATTATAATTATATTATTATAAATTATACTAAAGTTTAATATAATTTGTTTAATAATTAAACAAGTTAAGAAGTAGTAAGGCATATGTAGTAAAGATAGCAAAGTAAAGTATATCAGTGGTAAACTAATAACGA